CTACACAGAGAAACCCTGTCTCAAAAAACCAAAAAAAAAAAAAAAAAAAAAAATGTTTGGGGCTAAAGAAGTAAGTAGTTCAGTGGTAGAGTAACTCATCTGTGCAGTATGTAATAAACTCTGAGTTTGAGCTTTAGAACATAATCCCCTGCCCCCCCCCAAAAAAAAGTAAAAGGAAAGAACATTTCAGGCCAGACATACAAAATAGGTGTATATTTTTAGTATAAAATTTTCTATCATTTTAAATATAGTGATTTATTTTATGTGTATGACTATTCTATCAGAATGCATGTATGAGCATCATGTGCATGCCTGTGGCCTGACAGAAGTCAGAAGATGGCACTGAATCCCCAGGAAGTGGAAATACAAATGGTTGTAAGTCAACATGTAGGTGCTAGAAACAAGTGCTGGATAATCTCTCCAGCCTCTCCCATTTTTTAAATCATTTTTAGAATTTAGATATAAAATATGGAGTTGCTTACCAATTCAAATTTTCATTTTTTATAGCAATTTACTAACCAAATTTGAATTTTTCTATATAACAATTATTTTGTGTATTCAATAGTTCAGAAATTAAGTAGGTCAACTTGATTTTCAAATATGTGGTTTCAGATACATCTCACAGACACACACACAACATTTTTCATCTGAAAAATTTAATAAAATTCATAAATCCTCCTCTCTTTAATACTAGTTTAAAACAAGGCAGGGGAACTATCTAAAATATTGTATTTGTCTTAAGTTAAATCAAGTATAATGTGATTTGGTGGCTACTGTGTTCTTTGTCCTGGTTATAACAAAGCTTCATAGACTTGACCATTCCACATTTTACTTGATCTGCTAAACCAGGTCATAATTCCTAATATATCAAATTTAAGTAAGATTATTCTCCCTCCAATTATTTTGACGAAAAAAAAGCTACTCTCAGTTCTCTTCTTCCCTCCCCTCCTCCACATACACACACACAGTGTGCATATGTACATTTCTGTTATTAATGAACTATGCAAAAGTGAAAAATTTGAGCTGCAGATAGCAACTGAAATTTGTATGTTAAGTACAGAAGCAGTACTAAAAATCTGTTTTTAAATATTTTTTTCCAATCTACGATTAAAGAAAATGTTTCCATTTTGACTTCTATTTTATGTTACTTTTGACAGCCTTAATTTAAAAGTTGAAATATTTTTGAATATTATCTCTTTATAATGATGCAATATAAAATACTCTATTTCCTCTAAAATAACAATTAGGCTTTCCTGGAACATATACTACAAACTTATTCATTTATATTTTACATGGCTAACAGTAATAACAACTTTCCAATGACTGAAAATATAGGCACTATTTAATAAAACACACAAAAGAATTTCATCCCATATAGTTTGAAAGATAGAATATAATTTAGTATATGCAGACAATATATATATAGTCTGTAAGTAAATCACAATGAGAAACAGATATTGTATTTTGATACTACTTGATTAGCATATAAATTTAGTATATCTAGCAAATAAAATGTATTTATATATGCTTACTATAACTACACAAGACATACTTAATACAGACAGATTTTGTTTTATTCATTGTATGACTGCCACAAAATATCAAAACATAAAATAATATTTTCATATAACTATATAGAAAATAATTAGTTTAAGGTCTTCTAAATAAGTCTTCTATTGATAAACATTACTTGAACACTTAGCACTGTCAGACATTGTTCATTTCTTCATCTCTAGGAAAGCTTAGTGAGATATGCATCATTATTTTCATTTTGCAGATGAAGAAATAAGCAGTCAGTCAAATAGTGTAATTCCCAAGTCTACTCTTTCTCCATGATATAAGACAGCAGCATAATAGCTTGTTCAGGGAACATCAAATTCTCTAGATATTGTATGTTATAACCAAAGGTCTAATAATTATGGTAACTTTAAGGACTCTTCAAGTACAAATTGATTAATGTTTTAGGATACTATTTGCATACAAACTACAAACACACACACTATCTATCTATCTATCATCTATCTATCTATCTATCTATCTATCTATCTATCTATCTATCTATATCTATCTATACATGTTATAATAAAGTGAAGTAGTAGTAAGATACAGCACACATGTCAAATCAGTGTTAAGGGAAAATCAATGAATAAAACACAGCACATTTGCTGAGATACATGATTGATTGTGATATGATTAGTCTAGATATAAATATGTTAAACCAAAATAAAAAAACACCTAGAAAAGTCATAAGAATAATTAAAACACCTTAAACATGCCTCTCCCCTCAAGTTGTCCAAATGTAATGGATACTTAATTTCAAAATTAGTCTACTAGTTCATTTTTTTTTTCTTCAGGAGAAACTGAAATAAATTGAAACAATACTGACTTACTTAAGTTGCTGAGTAGTGCCCCCTTCAACAGAAACAGAAAAAAACCTACAAAACTTTGAGCAAGAAGTTTTAAAAGTCTCTTATGTTTTTAGCTAAACTACTACATTAATTGCTTGGTATCTTTAGAAACAGAAAATTTCACTATATTTTTACTGTGCTTCAGATATGTTGCTCCATTAGAAAAATGGAGCAAATGTTCTTCCAGAATAATGAAGACGGATCCTGAATTGGCTTGAGGATGATGCGATTTAAAATCAAATGGCTCAAATGTCAACACTTTTTGTTACAGATAATGAACTAATGAGAATACAATTGTGTTCGCTTACCTCTTCATTAATATACCAGTATAGGGATGCATCTTTTAGGACAAACCAGTACTTCTTCCATTTCTGCGAAAAATAGCTCTTTGCATCTTTCTTTTTCCAAAGCCATCCCTCACAGTCACCACGACCAAGATCCTTGCAAGAAATTCGTCTTTTGCTCTTGCCTGCTATAGCTCCTAAAAATAGTGAGTGGTAATACTCTTAATTTTGGAAAGTGCATAAAGATAAAAGATTAATCCCTAAATCCTAAAAGCAAGTTAGGTACTTATTAATCTTAAAATGATCATTTTCTAATTGTGTTGTCACAGAAAATATGGGGATCTTTGATGCCTTTCCTTCCACATAGATGACAACATAATCGGAAATATGTGATCCTCACCTCAAGACTTCCTGAGACCATATCTTATCAAAGGATCTGCATGGTAAGTGATGTGAAAGCACACTGGCTTCAAGGCAATGAGAAGATTAACGAAATGTGCTGATGATTACCACAGTACAAAAGAAGGAAGTTAAATGTTCATTTTCTTTTATTACCTTTGTTTTTCTTCTTTGATTTGTGCTGCAGAGAGGACTGCTGAAATGTCTGAAATTAAAGATAGGAAAAATTATTATCTTTTTTTTTTTTGTTTTTTGTTTTTTTGAGACAGGGTTTCTCTGTGTAGCTTTGCGCCTTTCCTGGAGCTCACTTGGCAGCCCAGGCTGGCATCGAACTCACAGAGATCCGCCCGGCTCTGCCTCCCGAGTGCTGGGATTAAAGGCATGCGCCACCACCGCCCGGCAAGATTATTATCTTATAAGCAGAGTGCAATCCAGAGAACCATGGGGCTACACAGAACTCTCACAAGCTGAATGATTACTCTAAACCCAGATTAGAGCAGTACCTCTCCCCATTAATATTTCAAAATAAATTAATATAAGCACATTACTTAACTTTCTCATCTTTCACGAAGCAGGAAAAGACCTATCAGTATCTTCATTTTGTTGACAGATTCCAGCGTAAAACACATTGGTAAAAGTAAATGATCTCCCCTCCTGCCCCACAACTGTTCCCTTTGAGAGATTCACTGTGGTTTCTAACACATCTCATCTGATTCTCACATAATCTGACAAACCAGGAGGTAAATGTGTCTTTCTTATTTCTACCTTAAGTCTCTAAATCTATAAGCATTTCGATCAATATTTAATTTCATACCTACCTACTTATATCAGTATTAGTGATGACTAATCTTCTTGTCAATGGTGCCAACACCCCAGTTCCTCCTCACTGCTTCTGACATAGGGACCTTCCCACTTCCCAACTACCAACCCCCACAACTATATGTCTGGTATTTTGAACATGTCCCAGCCACTGCCTCTAATATTTGTGGATTATAAAGTCCAATACCAGCAGGGTGGTGGTGGCACACACCTTTCATCCCAGCACTTGGGAGACAGAGCCAGGTGGATCTCTATGAGTTCGAGGCCAGCCTGGTCTACAGAGCAAGATCCAGGACAGGCACCAAAACTACACAGAGAAACCCTGTCTCGAAAACAAACAAACAAACAAAAATGTCCAATACCATTGTCCTATCAATGAAAAAATATTGTGTCATCTAAATCATTGACTACACCACCCAATTATGCTTGTATTTCTATCCTATCTACTTTCCATGAATATTATTATAATGGTTCCTTTGCACTATTCCCTGCATCTATATATAAATAACTAAACAATGCAATACTAAGTATCTACTTAACAGTTTACCATGTCTGGAAAAAAACGATCTGTATTGACTCACCTAACATTCAATTAATGACTAAAAGTTACTGGCTCTACTCAGATAATATACTCATACAAAATTTTCACTGGTATAATAAAATTAATTATAATTAACTAATGAAGAGAGAACAGAGATTGCCTGTGTGTTAAGTCACAGACATTCTTTGAAGGAAATGTTCTTGTGAGTAACAGACTTTTCTTTTTCTACTTAAATGAATAGATTTTAATTATATACAATTTTCTTTAGTTGTATAATAAGTTCATATTACTATATAATGTATAAGTCCTAAAATTGTGTATTTATATAAACATTTTTGTTGTGTGTATGATTTATAAATATCTAGTACATATGGAGGGTACCAGCCATAAAGAGACAGGTACTCTCTTGATACACAACGTAATACAGAAATATAATCACCCAAATGTCAAAAGCACCATAAATTTATGTTGTTACATGCATATGTAAACACACATATAAATGTGTATATATATATATATATATTCATACACATATAAATGTATATAAATGTAGTAACATTTGCAGGGATCACGGCTATAGAAATTTACAATTACTTACTAAGAAACAGCATAAAAGACAAAACTCATTATGCATATTGGTAATTCAGGTTAGTGTATTTAAGTATATTTAGGTATACTTAATTTACATATAATTATTTTCCATATATTGTTTGCATGAAATTACTCATTCAGTTTCTTCCTTTTGTGTACCCTCAAGCAATCATTATAGTTTTATAGCTCATTACTTTGAAACATGACAAAGATGGGTTAATGTCTTTTTTAAAGAAGCTATCAATATCAATAGCAGTTTATAAGAATTGGGTTAATATATTATGTCTTTTATACTTCTTTGTTTAGTATATTATGGTGCTCGAGATCAAACCTTGAGCCTCACGCATGCTTGACAAGTGTCCTACTACTAAGCTATGCCTGAGGCCTCCTCTATGCTTTCTATCTTAGAGTCTCAACGTCTTCTTTAAATTTACAGAAAACTACTTTATGTTCTCCAGGTTTTCTTTCAATATAAATATGCAATATTTTCATAAAGATTATGATATCAGAGTACTATATGGTTGAAAACTAAGAACTTCCAGGTATGCAATACAAATTTATCCACATTCAATAAAAACATCCGATGTTTTATGCATATGTAAATATGAGGAGCGTCTTTAACAGATATTTCCTTATTTTTCAAATGACCTTTATATTTTCTAAAATGAAAGGGTTAATTGCTTGAAGTCAAATTTTTCTGGTTCATGCTAAAATAAATATATCTCTTAGAGGCTCTTGCATAGCACACTATTATATTAATTTCTATTTTATGCTAAAAAATTATAAAAATACATTTGAATAACAGTTTGTCTTGGTATTTTTGCAATAACTTTTATTAAAGGGTATCACTAGGTATTTCAGACCAGCCTCAACCTCTAGATCTAGTCTTAGTATCCTGAGTGTTGGCATTTCAGGTGTAAGACACCACTCAATTTGAACATTTTATGTTTTGGCATTTATTGTTATCTATATCTACTCTATTGTAATCTATGTTTAGTCTTTCATTAGCTTTTAAGATATTTTTCTATTCTTTATCTACATTCTATACTATATTCTATACTTGCATTAAATGTCAAAATTAAAATTTATCCTAATCTTATTTAGCATTCATTAGGTTGTATTATTTCTTTTGAACACTTCCAGTTATTATTTCTTTTAAATTTCGTCTTTACCAGCTCCTCTTTCTCTAGATGAATGTTGGCATGTGTCAATTTAACACCTATGTGTATTTCACATTTTCCCTTTCATCATTCTGCATTGTTCTTTAAGTAAATTAATTTTACATTTTTCCTTTTTATTTAGTTCTCTCTGCTTATATCCAATTTAAACTTTATCTTATCTATTATACTTATTTAACTGACAGTATTTTTTACAATTTAAGGATATCCAGTTGGTATTAACTGTAGAACAGCAATTATTTTTGAATTTTGTGTTTTATTCTGAAATTTAAGTACTTTTGTAATTTTGCCATATTTTCACTTAGTGTGAATGTGTAATGTATCACCTGAATGTTTAGTTCAGTGCCCTTTCTTCTGCATTGTTATTTTAGATACTTCAAAATTTTTCTTTTCTGCGTAAGACTTTTGCTGTCTCCTGCTTCTATTCCTTGGGTCCTTTTAGATACTAACCAGGACTTTTTTGTGTTGACATGGCCTGCTGTTTCATTGATGCAGCTCAAGCGTAGGAGACTTGGCCCATGTTTCTGAGTAACGGTATGTTTTTGTATCCTGTTGACACCAGGAATTCACTTTGGCCACTGCTTGTATATTTAGGAAAAACAGTCACAGATGTGGATCCACCTCTTTTTGGCTTTCTAGTTTCAACCACAGAGCTAATTATTACTTTCCTATCACTGCTAAGGTCAATTTGGTTTCAGGTTCTCATTAAATAACCCATTGCCATCTCTATTTCCTAGTAGATACATAGCTTTAGTGTCTAATTACCAGAGAATTTTCTCCTTTCTTTTTTTTTTTTTTGGCTTTTCGAGACAGGGTTTCCCTGTGTAGCTTTGCGCCTTTCCTGGAACTCACTTGGTAGCCCAGGCTGGCCTCGAACTCACAAAGATCCGCCTGCCTCTGCCTCCCGAGTGCTGGGATTAAAGGCGTGCGCCACCACCGCCCGGTTGAATTTTCTCCTTTCTGATATACATAAAAACTATGGCCATCTCTCTGCCTCTTTTATTGCTGTGTATTTAATGTAGAATGAATGTGAAAGAATGTGCAGGAGAGAGGAGGTGTGTTATATTAGTGACTTTAAAACACAAGCTTATAATGTTTATTGGTTATCAAAAATTGATTCATTTTCAAACCATCCTGAAAGCCTCTTCAAAACCTTATTATAATCTATCTACAGAATATATTCATTAGACTTTTTTGATGGTCCTAGTAAAGAAGTATTTTCTGTTTCCTTTTCAATAGTAAATATGCATAGTTATAATCATTGAATGTATTTTTAAATATTTATTTTTATTTTGTATGTATAGGTAAATTTTGTTTGCATGTATGTCTGGGTACCATGTATATACAGTACCCACAGAGGCCAGAAGTGGGCGTTGGAACCCCTGGAACTGGAATTACCTACATTTGTTAGATGCCATGTGGATGCTGGTAGTTGAACTTGGGTCCTCTGGAAGAACAGACAGTATTCTTAACCATCAACCCTAACCCTAGCCCCTAATAATCATTCCATTTCATTAAAACCTTATATGAACAAAGATGATTAATGACATTTTCATCATGCTTCATTTGCCAAAGTTATACAGTGTTCAGCATATATCATAAGATCATTCTATCTACAAACATGAATATCAATGTTAACATTGCCCCTTTGTGAACAGTACCATTTTATCTTAATTAGTTTGCAGTATACATTTATACCAAACTGTTAAGCTGGATAGGAGATAGACATTAGCAGGCTTAGAGGTCAATAAATATGGACCCCACCTTCACATTCACCTTTGGACCCCATCTCACATTTTCCTAGGTAACAAAGACAAAAAAGGAAGCTTTGCAATTGCTCTTTTTAAAGAGCAAAAATACAACATGAAAAGATGGAGAGAGGAGGTATCAGAGTTTGCCCAAAGCCTATCAAGGGAAAGCTACTTCCCCTGGACCGAGTTATATCCCTGTTACTAGGTGGAGACATGGCACTCCAGTCTATACCAAAGATTGCAGCCCCTACCCTCTCCCATGCCCAATACAGTTATCTAAAGATCTTTGCTGTTAAGCATGTCTGACTGTGTGATATCCAATTTA